ACGCATCAGCTTCATTAATTGGTCTCGTGACTTGAGCATCCAACGACATTTGAAACCCTAGGGTCAACGCCGGTCAACGCGTAACCCTAGGTCAACGCCAGTCAACGCGTTACGATCAAAAAGACAACGTATGACGTTCGAAACCCTAGGGTCGATGCCGGTCAAAGCGTAACTCTAGGTCAATGCCAGTCAACGCGTTGCAAGCAAACAGTCAATGTACGACGTTCGAAATCCTAGGGTCAACGCCGGTCAACGCGTAACCTTTGGTCAACGCCAGTCAATGCGTTGCGATCAAACAGTCAACGTACGACATTCGAAACCCTAGGGTCAACGCCGGTCAACGCGTAACCCCAGGTCAACGCCGATCAATGCGTTGCAATGAAAGAATCAATACTCCGAAAAGTATACGAGTATAAACTGCTTCTTAATACTTCGAAAAGTATACGAGTATAAACTGCTTCTTAATACTCCAATAAGGTATATGAGTATAAACTATTCCCTATACTTTTGGTTGAGAAGTTCCTAGAGAATATTTTTCCAAAAATATTCTTAAGGATAACTCAACAACACTACGCCGGACAACGCGTCGCAAATGAGAACTCAACGCCAACAATCGATGGTCAGTTCTAGATTGAACCAACAAACACGAGCTAAAGATTAAAAAATCAGGAATCGACTTCAAGTTTAAAATTTTGACAACGGTCAGACAATAAATACAGCACCGGAACTCTTACAGACATTCGACAAAGCACCGAATAGCCTGAAGGATTGAAGGAATCAAGAACAGAAGCCATTCTAAGGTCCCGTTACACCGACTGAAGGTTGGGACATTCAGCCACGGGCAGGGTTTATGCAGTTGTAGGCGTATAAAATTGCTTATAGGTCCCTTAGCACAGCTCGGCACAAACCGACGAACCATCGGGCGACGTATCCAAACACGAGCGTCAGTCCACAACGCCAAAGCCAAGTGACACGCAACGAAGCGGATTAATGAGGCTATGAAGCTGACAAACCGCACTCAAACAACGGAATGAATCCACTCACGTGCAGAATCAAGCTAACGGGTTGAGGAATCAACGAGTCATCCAACCAAGAGCGAACTCGGATGAATCACGATCGAATCAAGAGCAGTTTCGGACTCGAACTCAGAAGCGGATTTACTGCCTAATCAGGATCCGGATTTACTGCCAAATCAGATCAACAAATCAGAGTCTAAATCAACCACGAGACCGGAAAACGGCAAAAAACCACAACACCTAGGGGACTCGGCCAAAGCCTAGCCACCTATAGGTGGCTAGGTGGCTAGGTGGCCTAGCCACCTATAGGTGGCCGGTCAGATCTGTGCCTTGAGAGGTTGGAACTTTTGGAGGCGAAGCTCTGCTGGATTCAAGGCTCAGATCTAAAAAAGATTGAAGCTTTGGGACTTTGAGGACTTGCTCTTCCAGATCCGGTGCTCGGCGATCGTCAACGCCAAATAAGGCAAGAGTTCGAGAGGAACCGGATCTCAGATCTACGTAGTCATCCTCCGGATCAAAGCTTGGCCTTTGATCCCGAGAACTAAAGGGTACTATTTCCTTAGCGAAATAGTACCATCGGCTATTATTTCCTTGGCGAAATAATACCCGTCATACTGCGTAGATCCGACCAGATCTAGATCGCGCGGTGGTCCACGGATAAACCCCGGCACAGGCGAAGAACCCACAAAGCGAGTGACCGCAAAACAGGAGCTCGTGATTCGTTCGAAAGGAAAGTTGTAATCTTTTTTCTTTTTCTTTGATTTCGTTGTAACTGGATCTTATAAATAGACCGGATCTTTTGTAAGCAAAAAACAATTACTTGAGAAAACAATGGAATCAATGAAGAACACAATTTTTCCCGCGAACAATCTGGCGACCACA